GGGCCCGAGGATGCTGGAGGAGCAGACCACGTGCAACACCCTTACGCTGCATCTGCTGGAGAAACACACGCATCTAATCCCAAACACACACACCAGCTACACAGCTCACACACATTCATGCAACAGCAGCCATACACACACCACACACACCACACACAGCAGGAAAGCCATGTTGTCTCCCCCTCGTCTTACTGACATATCACGACTACAGCAGGTGAGAATGAACTCGGGGTATGTGTGTGATTTTTTTAAAAATTTTTTAAATACCAATATTTATTTAATTCCCAGGAGCAGTCTTATACCTCTGAGAAGGTGTGTGATGTCAAGATGGGTGTGGCTAAAGAAATTAGTGCCCTCCCACCAACTGCAGCTGAGATACTCTCCAGAAGGTCAGATTTCATTTACTAATCAGAGTTTAGCCAGATTTGTGTTGACGTTTAGTACAATATTACCACTACCACTACTACCACTCAGTGTGTTAATCATCTCTGTCTCAGTGACAGGTTCATCTCAAAACTCGGCAAGATGGACATAGACGAGAGGAGAGGAAGCGTGGAGAGAGGGACTGAGGCAGAGAAAAAGGGGAAAGCAGGATATACAGAGTCTCGTCCTGAACAGGAGTGAGTGTTACGGCCGTTCCTGTTTTTCTGGTTCCCAAACACAATAATTTATCTTGTCTCAGGTCTTTGTACTTAAAAACACACTCACTATTAAGATATATTCAAGATATTGAGATATTAAGATGAATAATATCTGTAGTTGTAGTTGTAGTTGTCCATACTTTAAGATCATTAAGATACTCAGCAGAAGGAAGTGCACCCAAGTATTGAATTCACACTGAGGAGCTTGTGACCGACACATTAAAACATCCAAAAAATGCAGTGTGGAACACTGGATGCTTTTTGCAGTGTTTTACGTAGCAGAAGGGGCGGAGCCACCAGATGGCACACTATATGAAAGCACAGCTATGTTGTGGATGCAGATTAAAAGCAAAAAGTTTAAACTGAACTTTTTTTTTTTTTACCTACAGTTGAGGTCAAAAGTTTATAGGTTTTCAGGATCTGCAAAATGTTAATTATTTTTGCCAAAATAAGACGGATCATACAAAATGCATGTTATTGTTTATTTAGTGCTGACCTGAATAAGATATTTCACATAAAAGATGTTCACATATAGTCCACAAGAGAAAATAATAGCTGAATTTATAAAAACGACCCCATTCAAAAGCTTACATCCACTTGATTCTTAATACTGTGTTGTTACCTGAATGATCCACAGCTGTGTTTTTTTTTTTGTTTAGTGATAGTTGTTCATGATTCCTGCCTCCCTTGAGAGCCGAGGGGGGTGAAAACTTTTTGAATTTGAAGATCAGGGTAAATTTAACTTATTTTGTCTTCTGGGAAACATGTAACTATCTTCTGTAGCCTCTGAAGGGCAGTACGAAATGAAAAAATATGATATTTAGGCAAAATAAGAAAAATGTACACATCTCCATTCTGTTCAAAAGTTTTCACCCCCCGGCTCTTAATGCATGGTTTTTCCTTCTGGAGCATCAGTGAGCGTTTGAACCTTCTGTAATCGTTGCATGTGAGTCTCTCAGTTGTCCACAGTGTGAAAAGATGGATCTCAAAATCATACAGTCATTGTTGGAAAGGGTTCAAACACACAAAAATGCTGGAAAACCAAAGAATTTGTGGGACCCGAAGGATTTTTCTGAAGCACAGCAGGCAGTGTAACTGTTCAGGACAAACAAGGGACTCATGAATGACTATCACTAAACAAAAACACACAGCTGTGGATCATTCAGGTAACAACACAGTATTAAGAATCAAGTGGATGTAAACTTTTGAACGCGGTCATTTTTATAAAATCGACTATTATTTTCTCTTGTGGACTATATGTGAACGTCTTTTATGTGAAATATCTTATTCAGGTCAGCACTAAATAAACAATAACATACATTTTGTATGATCCGTCTTATTTTGGCAAAAAAATTAACATTTTGCAGATCCTGAAAGGGGGATGTAAACTTTTGACCTCAACTGTAAAACCTGCTTTTCTCTCATGTATCTCACAGTCGAATTTCGACCAATTCAATTTTGCGCACATCATTGTTTATGTAAGGAATAACACATGTTGAGCCTGAGGTTACAGGAAAATAATCCAGTGTGGTATTCCTTTTATACCACAGTGAGGTGCCAATGATTACAATTTTAATTTATTAATGAACAACACCATTTATAGTGACAATTAATGTTGTGGAACATACGCAAGACAAGCTAGTTCGTGTTATTACGAACGTTATAGCAGCTATAAACAGTCGTTCCCACACCAGCCTCTCTTTATCGCTTTCTTGAAATTACCAAGGCAAAAAAAAAAAAAAATGCAGCTGAGAAACCAGAAAGCATAAGTTCCTCTGTCCAAGACGTTCCCGTGGTGGGAAACTTACTTAGCATTACAAACGCTGACACTGGTGACTCCTTCAAAAATGTTACATGAACATCTCCTAACAGAAAGCTTCACCATGTCAACAGTTATACTTTATTCTTTGTTAAATAGCAACATGTTTTTCAGCCATTTTTATTTGCCTTGGATTGCGTAGAGCATCCTCCATACAAGGCCCTGTGAATATGTGAATATCTTTTATGTTGCAGCTAGAACTACTCTCCGAACTGCTGTTATAGAAAAGTAATCCTTCCGATTTGAGAATTCAGCAGCTCTGTGGTGTAAAAGATATTAACACTCTCTAACAATGAGTTACTACATACTCTAGCACACATGTATTGTATATAGCACACAGACACACAGCTTCATATTTCATATTAGGAGAATTGCGTAGCATTTTATCATGGTTTACAGTCTTTTTTTTTATTTTTTTTTTATCCTGTTTGTGTACCTGTACCTGTTCACCTATTCACCTGTGCAGCATTTTAACCAAACGTTAACATTTAAACATTGCCATCACATTCACTGTCGTCACTTTAAGGAGATTCCTCCCAGAAATGTTAAATAAATATCTCTTTATATTCACATTTTTAAATTTGGCCACCGTACACGTCTCTGTGTGTGAACGAGCTGTTAGTACAGAATCGATAATGTATTAGAATGAGCGCATCTGACCAACTGAGACTTCAGCAAATCAGTAATAAGTATATAATGTAATTGTTATAATTTTCTTTATTAATAGAAGCATTTATAACCAGCTAGCGATGATGACCTCTCTCTCTCTCTCTCTCTCTCTAGATCATGCCTAATCAAGAAGGATCAGTCCTGCCTCACACGCTCACACATGGTATTTCTGTTTGTAATGTTTCAGAGTATTTCAGAGTTGTAATATTCATATAAATTTACTATTAAATATAAATAATAGCATAAAAATGTATTAAATTATACAGTAGAGACCTGCAGGCTCTGCTCTGCCCCCTTTCATTAAAAGGCAATTTTGTGAGCAGAGGGAGTGGGATATGTTGGATGAATGTGTTTTTATTGCAGTTGTAATTCTCCAGACAGTCAGCAGAGGGTGCAGGCATTGCAACCTGTTTAAACATAACCTCTGTGTGTGTGTGTGTGTGTGTGTGTGTGCGCGTGCATGCGCATTGTTGACCTTGTAACCATGTTTTAAAAAAAACTGCATCCCTCCTTTATTTATTTATTTATTTATTTATTTTTACAGAGCCTTGCTCCGGAGCGCCCCACGCCAGACAGCAGCCACACAGACGGCGACACACACTCAGATACCAGTGACGAGACGCATCACCAAACCAGACACCAGAGACTCGAGAACAGAGACACACACAGCCAGAAGGACATGCAGTCTAACACGAGCTGCACACACTCTCTGAGTGGTGATACACAAACTGAGAGCCAAAGCTCACACTCTGAGCCTGGGAGCACACGCACACACAGCAGCAACACACACACTGAGGCCAGGATCTCACAGAGCACGCATGTAGCCTCAGATTATAGCTGCACACACACTCAGCGTCCTGACACACACACTACCAGGCTGATGGAGGAGGACATCAACTCAGCATCTGGCCACTACGTCAGGGGTAATACCTCTTCATCATCCTGTTTCTCCTGTTTTCTCCGATTCTGTGTTGAGATACGTTTTCTGTCTATTCTGTTACTCATTACTCTATGTACATTAAGGCCTAATTGTTTGTGCCCACTTCCAAGAATGATTTATATTTCCTCTGTTATCAAAAAACTAATATAAGAGTAATCCATTCTTCACTAAATGTTGGACTGAAAATAACGCATAACCACTCCAGTCACATGTTTTGCATTAAGAGACAGCTGTTTAATGCTGTGTGTGTGTGTGTGTGTGTGTGTGTTACCGCTGGATCGAATACACTGAGCTGGCAGATTATTAGGTACACATCTATAGTCACGTTTTTTATTGAGCACATGTAAAAGTGACGTGTTGGAGTGTTATTTGATGAACCGTCAAATAAAAAAAAATCAAACTAAATGGAAATAAAACTGATCCAATAAAACTGTAAATGACAAGACCTAAGTCAAGATCAAACGGATATTTTAAGACCTTAAAGTACCCCTGAGCATGTAATTGTACACCATTAAAATATGTTAAATAGAATTATAAATTCTTTAGTGTATAAGGAAGGAATAAAGCACGACAGGGCATGCAGTTGGAGAGAAATGATCAGACTGGAGTGATGCAGTTCAAGGCAAAGTCCAATTACAACACCGAAGTTGATTATTTTCATATAACAGTATACCCTGAAGTGAAATGAAGTGACATGTAGCCAAGTATGGTGACCCATACTTGGAATTTGTGCTAGGCATTTAACCCATCCAAGTGCACACACGCAGTAGTGAACACACACACACACACACACCATGAACACACACACCTTTTTTCTGTGGCGCCCGGGGAGCAGTTGGGGGTTCGGTGCCTTGCTCAAGGGTCTCACCTCAGTCGTGGTATTGAGGGTGGAGGAGAGCACTGGTCATTCACTCCCCCCACCTACAATCCCTGCCGGACCTGAGACTCGAACCCACGACCTTCGGGTTATAAGTTCAACTCTCTAACCGTTAGGCCATGACTGCCAGAACTACTGTCAGAGCTATCAGATTACATAAGCACATGTAAACAGATCAGATCATTGCTAAAGAAATGTTTTTGTGCGCTTATCAGATTATTTTGTACATGTAAACTTGTAAGGTGATGTAAGTACTCGTTTAATCCTTTTAATTACTCCATGAATGTGTTTATGAATTTATAGTGAAAATACCTCGTCACGTTTTATAGTAGCGAGTGACCTTTCTTTCCTGTTTCTTCCCGCAGCCCCTCCCAGTTCCTCTGTTCACTGTCCAATCTCAAACCAGACTCAGACTCTAAGCAGTGGACAAGACTCCGCCTCCTGTGCACCCTCCAGCCAATCACGTGTCGAGTAGGAACATCTCTTTTTGTATGTTTAATTCATGTGTTGTCAGTGAGATTCTGGGCTATAGGTTACCAGGATCTTTAATTTTGTTTGGGTGTGTGTGTGTGTGTGGGTGTGTGCGTGCGTGTGTGTGCGTGTGTGTGTTTGTGTGTCTGTGTGTGTGTGTTTGTGTGTGTTAGCAGAGAGGATGGTGCAAACTGTTCCCATGAGATGTCGACCTCCCAGTTGCTTCAGCGTATTCAGAAGCTCAAGCGAGCAATCAGGAGCTTTGAGGAATCCTTCCAGAATATCCACAACTACAAGGTGTGTGTGTGTGTGTGTGTGTGTGTGTGTGTGTGTGTGTGTGTGTGTGTGTGTGTGTGTGTGTAAATGTAAAGAAGGAATAAAACCCTTGGTGGTGTGCTGTTACAGTAAACTAATCAAGGAATCAAGGGCAGGATGGTGTGATGAAGTGAAATTAGTGTTAACACACTTTTCTTTTTATCCTTTTTATCCTTTTTGTAGTTATATTTGTTGTTGTGGAACATCGTTATATGTTACAGAAGTCGTTCCCTCGCTAGTCTTGAAGCTAACTTAAAAAAAAAAAAAAAAACACGCAGCTTGTCATGTTACCAGGCACAAACTCCTCTGTCTTGACTTTCCTGTGGCGGAAAACTTACTGATTCTGACACTGGAGACTCCTTCCATAAAAGAAACATCTCCACACAGAAAACGTCCATCGTACCAACCATGTTTTCGTCATTAAATAACAACACATTAGTCTTAGATACGACTCGTTCTCCACACAAGTCCCTGTAAATTGTTACTATAGCAACAATAACATAATTGAACAAACGTGTGATATTCCTTGCAGCAGGCACTACTGTCAGAGCTGCTATTACAGAAAATTAATCAACACCTTCTGGCCAATCAGGACTGAGAATTCAGCAGTGCTGTGGTATAAATATGTTTCCTTTACATAAAGTAACCCTTGTGGACCAAATGTACGGTAATGAAATGAAAAGTACATGGAGGTGAGATAAACACTTTGCCGTCTGATTCGGAGCAAACGTGACTACAGTAATAATGCAGGTCGTGCGGATAAATCTGAGATTTGGGGCTTTTTGCTGTTTTCCAAAATCCAAACTTTGAATAATATTAGAGTTATAAAGCATGAGGGTTAAGTTAAATATAAGCTGATGGTTGGACATGCAGTAAACAGAAAATATTCTGTTTCTTTACTGTGTTGTTTAAATATGTATTTCAGGAATAAAGCCATAATATTTCAAGAATAAAGTCGTAATATTTCAAGAATAAAGTCGTAATATTTTGAGAATAAAGTCATAATATTTTGAGAATAAAATCATTATATTTTGAGAATAAAATCGTAATATTTCAAGAATAAAATCGTAATATTTCGAGAATAAAATCGTAATATTTTGAGAATAAAATCGTAATATTTCGAGAATAAAATCATAAGATTTTGAGAATAAAATCATAATATTTCAAGAATAAAATCATAATATTTTGAGAATAAAGTCGTAATATTTCAAGAATAAAATCATAATATTTTGAGAATAAAATCATTATATTTTGAGAATAAAGTCGTAATATTTCAAGAATAAAATCGTAATATTTTGAGAATAAAATCATTATATTTTGAGAATAAAGTCGTAATATTTCGAGAATAAAATCATAAGATTTTGAGAATAAAATCATAATATTTCGAGAATAAAGTCATAATATTTTGAGAATAAAGTCGTAATACTTTGAGAATAAAATCGTAATATTTCGAGAATAAAATCATAATATTTTGAGAATAAAATCATAATATTTCGAGAATAAAGTCATAATACTTTGAGAATTAAGTCGTAATATTTCGAGAATAAAATCATAATATTTTGAGAATAAAGTCGTAATATTTCGAGTATGTCATAATACTGTGATTAAAGGGTATGTTTTGTTGAAGGCGGATGTTATACTTATAATAATCTGGTGCTGATGCACCAGGCGATTGAGTATTTCATTATTTGTAAAGTATTTCTTTCTTTATTTGTGTTGCACATCAGAGCAAGATGACACCATTCTGTCATCATCACTTTATTTTTTG